GCACTACATCATGTTCTCTAAGATGTTGGCTGTGCAGTGCACTACATCATGTTCTCTAAGATGTTGGCTGTGCAGTGCACTACATCATGTTCTCTAAGATGTTGGCTGTGCAGTGCACTACATCATGTTCTCTAAGATGTTGGCTGTGCAGTGCCCCGCACTACATCATGTTATCTAAGATGTTGGCTGTGCAGTGCCCCGCACTACATCATGTTATCTAAGATGTTGGCTGTGCAGTGCACTACATCATGTTCTCTAAGATGTTGTCTGTGCAGTGCCCCACGCACGGCGAGCCCTACATCATGTTCTCAGCACCGAAGCACAGGATGCAGTGCATCAATTGCTTCAGGGAGTCCAGTGTGGAGGCACGGCTGCTGTGCACCGACATAGACACGGCCTACACCGCCGCCGCACGCAAGCTCGACCGCGGTGTCATCGTGCGTAAATTTTCCTTTTTCAGTCGTGTGGTAATGTATCAGTTTATTTATCACAATGTCAGATCAGTTTGATGATCACAAGCTCATGTGTCTTATCACATCCGAGGTCTGCGATTCACTAGGCTTGTTGCCTCTAAAAGAGATTAATATCCTCTGTTTCAGACGAATAATTCAAAAAGGCAGACTTTATGCACTAATTGGCAACTGGGACAATATAGCACACGATATTTACTAATTGGTATTCAATCAGTTGCAGTCAGTTGCACACAGTATTTACTAATTGACAACTGACAGAAAAGAGCATGAGATATATAGTAATAGGCAATTGACACAGCAGGGCACACGATATATACTAATTGGCGTCCGATACAATTGGGGACACGCTAGTATATTTGCTAATTGGCGACTGAAACAATAAGCATGCGGTATTTACTAAATGGCAACTGAGACTATACGGCACACGATATTTACTAATTAGCAACTGAGACGTTGTGGCACCTGGTATTTACTAATTTAAAACTGAAACAATAGGGCACACTGCATTAACTTATTGGCAACTGGCACAATGGAACACGTGATATTTACAAATTAGCAACTGAGACAATAGGATGCACGATATTTACAAATTTGCAACTGAGAGAATAGAGCGCTCGGTATTTACAAATTGGCAACTGAGACAATAGGCACTCGGTATCTACTAATTGGCTACTGAGACAATAGAGCGCTCGGTATTTACTTTTTGACAACTGAGAGAATAGAGCGCTCGGTATTTACAAATTGGCAACTGAGACAATAGGCGCTCGGTATTTACTAATTGGCTACTGAGACAATAGAGCGCTCGGTATTTACTTTTTGACAACTGAGACAATAGAGCACTCGGTATTTACTAATTGGCAACTGAGACAATAGGATGCACGATATTTACAAATTGGCAACTGGGACAATTAAGCACACGATATTTACTAATTGGCAACTGAGACAATAGTATGCACGATATTTACAAATTGGCAACTGGGACAATAAAGCACACGATATTTACTAGTAGGCTACTGAAACAATAGAGCACGTAGTATTTTACTAATTGGCAACACTTAATACCACGTGATCCGACGTAATGTATTACGTGACTGCAGGGCATACGGGAGTTGCAGAGCTCAGTGCGGGACGGCGTTGTGTTATTCAAAGCGTTGCTGGACGAGCTACGCACCAACGCTGACCTCGAGAAGGCCAGCATCAACACCATGGCTGACACTCTGCAGGAGAGCTTGAGGCGCACTCATGAGGCCATGCTTAGGGAGGTCGACGTGTGAGTTGAACACACACACACTTCGACCTGAACACTTTGACCTTCAAAAAATCAAATTAATTTTGTCCCCTGAAACTCGAAAAGAGTTTATGCAGCAAAAATTTAAGAACTACTACAAAAAATATCTTCGTCGAAAACGTTTTGACCTGATAATTGAGCAAGTTTTTCTTTGCTATTAAATACTTGGTGAAGATGCAATTTAAACAAATAATACTATTATAACTTTGTGCAGGCAATACGAGTCTAAGGACAAGCTGTTCAGGTCGCAGCTGTCATCGCTGGGGTCTCTGCTACCGATCATCCAAGTCCACCTCGCCATGTGCACCACCTTCGCTGCCACGGCCTCCAAACACGACTTCCTCGACGTCGTCTTCCTCCTGATGGAGAGACTTGCCGCCATCGCCCACCTCTCCCACCCTCTCAGGTGGGTGCCACCATCGCCCACCTCTCCCACCCTCTCAGGTGAGTGCCACCATCGCCCACCTCTCCCACCCTCTCAGGTGGGTGCCACAATCGCCCACCTCTCCCACCCTCTCAGGTGAGTGCCACCATCACCCACCTCTCTCACCCTCTCAGGTGGGTGCCACCATCACCCACCTCTCTCACCCTCTCAGGTGGGTGCCACCATCACCCACCTCTCTCACCCTTTCAGGTGGGTGCCGCCATCACCCACATCCCACTCTCTCAGGTGGGTGAAAGGCTTTCATCAGCGTGTAACATTTTTCCATTCCTTCTTAATTTTTATTCTAGATTAACTCAGATATCCTTCACTAAGTAGTTTTTTTATACATTTAGCTGCACTAATTTTGAATGGAATATATTTATTTAATAATTGAACGGAATATATTGATTGTTCGCACGGACAGGCCGGGCCAGAGCAGTCAGATCCGCAGCAACTACCGGCAGGAGTTCGCCAGGAGCCTCGAGCTCATGAGCAGCAGCAGCAAGACGCGACAGCCTGTCACCGCCCCTGGTAAATATATTAATTAATATAATTAATAATATAATGCAAAATTATTAATATAATGCAAGATTATTTTGCATTATTTTAATGTATTATTTTACTTCTACGGCCTTATATATAATCGCTAAATTATTTATTGCATAAAATGATAACTATCGTCGACACTGGTATATTGAGGTGCTCCTAATGCATTCTATTTGATGCTAGATCATTTGATTCACTTTAATCAATTTAATTTTAAATCGAAAATTTCTTCAATACATTAATAAGCACAGAGCATTAAAGAAAGTTGAAACAAACAAGAACCCTCTTTTCTCCGTTCTTCCCATTTTTTCATTTATTACAATTTTCCTGATGAATTATCAAAGTTCACTCCCCCAGCGCCATGCCCCGACAAGCCGCCCCCTGAAGGGCAGCTCGCCCGGACGCCCCTCTCCACCCTCGAGGCGTTCACGTTCCGCGCCCCCGCCGCCCCCGCCGCCCCCGCCAAGCTCAAACTCGCGGACCTCGAGGGACCTTTTGCGGACCACTGCAGGGCTCATGAGATCAGCTTCCGGGTGAAACATCTCGCCTAAAATAATCTGTCCTAACCTAACCTAAGTCATCCTAACCTAGCCTAACCTAAGATAACATAGCCTATCTTAACCTAACCATACCTAATAAAACCTAACTATACCTAATAAAACCTAACCTATGATAACTTAACCTAACCTAACCTAAGCTATTCCAACCTAATCTTAGATATCCTAACATAACTTAGCCTAACCTGACCTAACCTAGCCTATCCTAACATAACCTAAGAAACCCTAACCTAACCTGGCCTAATCTAACCTAACCTAACCTAAGATAACCTAGCCGATCCTAACATAACCCTACCTAATCAAACCTAACCTAATCTAAGATAGTGGGAGTTAGCCACGCTCTCCTACGAGCTTCCCGTCTTATATAATCTGTGCATTCATGTCCCTCTTTGCGGTATTTCCGTTTTTCTTGTTAGCAACGTAGTCAGGCACTAGATTTTAATACCAGGATCTATTTCTCATCTTTGGCCTGTAACTATTGTCGTAAAACTACGTGATTTTTAATCAATATCAACCATTGATGGGAACTTGTGCCTCTATAAACTAAGTTCCTTGTACGACGCTTGCCAGGAGCTGTCGACGAAGTTCAGTCGCCTGAAGGAAGAGGCTCAAGAGCTTCACCGGGACGTGACCCACCGTCGGGTCGTGGCCCGGCGGTCCCGCGTCGATGACATCGTCAGGGAGAGCGCCGCCCTCGAGGAAGACGTGCGTCGCTACGCTGAGGAGCTCGACGATGTCAAGACCGCCTTTGACGCCACGTGGGACGAGCTCATACAGAGGATATACGCTGAGCAAGAGCTCCTTCAGACCCAGGCACGATCATACGCTGGTTAATTTATTATTTGGCATAATGATCTGTTATACGCTAGAGAATATGTGATTTGGCATTATGATGTCTGTTAAATGTAGGTACAAGCAGATATTATTTTATGATACGATCATACGCTAATTAATTTATTATTTGGCATTATGATCTGTTATCATACGCTAGAGAATATGGATTAGTCATTATGATCTGTCAAATGTAGGCACGACCGATATTATTCTATGATCCGTCAGAGAATATATGATGTTTGATACGTCAAAATATATGTGACAGGATGATACGCATGATAGTATATCATGGTACGTCAGAGTATATATGATATTGCCCAAGTCTCTGTCAAACTCTGGCAGGATGATACGGCAGATAATTTATTGTTTCGCGCTGGCCTTAGTCAAAGGTTTGGAATATTTCCAATATTTCGAACCAAAGAATTTTGGCATAAAAAAATTTCTTCGTATGCAAATTCGTTGATTCTTTTCAATTAACTTTGTAGTTATTAACACAGCTCCCTGTCTATATTAATCCCGTTTTCCTTACCCCAGCACCCAGTCAATATTAATCCCGTATTTTTTAACCCAGCACCCAGTCTATATTAATCCCGTATATCTTAACCCAGCACCCAGTCTATATTAATCCCGTAGTTATTAACCCAGCACCCTGTCTATATTAATCCCGTATATCTTAACCCAGCACCCAGTCTATATTAATCCCGTTTTCCTTACCCCAGCACCCAGTCAATATTAATCCCGTATTTTTTAACCCGGCACCCAGTCTATATTAATCCCGTATATCTTAACCCAGCACCCAGTCTATATCAATCCCGTATATCTTAACCTAGCACCCAGTCTATATTAATCCCGTAGTTAATAACACAGCAGCCAGTCTATATTAACCCCGTATATATCAGCCGTGTTGGTTGCAGATGAACGATGTAGCGAACCTGCGGGACGAAAACAAGCGACTTACAATCATAGCTCAGCAACTGGAGCCTTACATCCGCTCCATCAGCTCCATCATGGAGAGGATCTCCCCCCGCCTCCAGGTGGGTGCCTACATCCGCTCCATCAGCTCCATCATGGAGAAGATCTCCCCCGCCTCCAGGTGGGTGCCTACAGCCGCTCCATCAGTAGATACTGGAGAGCTGTATGTCGTAAATCTTGACGCACATAGGATTTTGTGTGTTCACTGATCTAGATAACTCACTTCATCGCAAAATGTTCGGGGCGCCACTGTGAGAGAGTGCTTTCCGTGGCACCCTTCGTTTAATAATCATATATTGCTGACCTGAAATTGGTTCGGTAAGTGGTGATGATGCGGTAGTTATTGAGAGATGTTACTGTCCTTTTGATATGGACAGGAGGAAGGGACAGATAGAGCTTATATAACTTGCGTTATATGACGTCACAAGGCCGGAAGCTACTACCATGATAAACAAGGAAATGGCGTTTGCATGTGGCGCAATAAATTCATTGTCCATGAAGAATTTCAAATCAATGGTGCTTTGTTTATTTTTTCCCGACGCTAAGGTTGCAGGTTGGTTTACACGACTTAAGTTCATTAAACACGCATTGTACCCACAGGTGCCGGCCAGCCAGATGCTGAGCTCCTCGCAGATCTGCCTGCTGGGCACCCGCGACCCGAGCAGCGCCCTCGTGCAGCAGATGATTGGTCAGATGGCCGCCTGCAGCAGGAGCGATAGGTGAGTACTGAGTGTAGTAATAGGAGCTAGGTGAGTGTACTCAGTGCTAGGTCAGTATATGGGTGCTTTGCGGTAGGTTAAACAAACTCTCAATAAAGTAGGTTCCCCTAGGTTGCCCTGGATATAACTGTTAATGTACTTTGCAATAGATGAGTATATAGGTACTGTACGATAGGTGACTATAGTACTCTGTTCTAGATGAGTGTACTCTGCGCAAGGTGAGTGTAACTCAATTCAACTCGTTTAGACTCGGAGAACCAACTTCTCGCAGTGTTGATGAATACTCAGGTCAAGTTTTGTGATCACATAGCGGCAATAACCGTAAAAGGCAGGCGACAGATTGAGTAGATCTAGTGGACGTTCAGAACACGAGAAGCGGAATTGATGATTACACTCTTTAGAGCCCTTGTGATCCATCTCCTTGAGTACTGCTGCCAGCTTTGGACCCCGTTCACGGTAGGCGTAGTGCGGCAACTAGAAGCGGTCCAGCGAACCTTCACGTCCAGGATCTCACCTCCGTCCTTCGCCTTACCGCCGTCTTTCTCCCCTCTTACCGAAGTCCCTCTCCCCTCTTACCGCCGTCTTTCTCCCCTCTTACCGAAGTCCCTCTCCCCTCTTACCGCCGTCTCTCTCCCCTCTTACCGAAGTCCCTCTCCCCTCTTACCGTCGTCTCTCTCCCCTCTTACCGCCGTCCCTCGCCCCTCTTACCGCCGTCCCTCTCCCCTCTTACCGCCGTCCCTCGCCCCTCTTACCGCCGTCTCTCTCCCCTCTTACCGCCGTCCCTCGCCCCTCTTACCACAGGACGGAGGGGCGCGGGTGTGGCGACGGCGCCAGTCGAGGGGCGGCGCTGGAGGACGGCCCGTCGTCCAAGGCGAGCTCGGCGCCAGAGACGCCCCAGCCACAGCTGCTGCCTGACGGGGTACCCCTGCCCCCCGAGCCCCCCCACGTGAGGCGAGGGGGCGAGCATGGCAAGGAGGAGGACCAGCAAGGTGAGTGCTGCCTGACTTGTTATGTTTATTATTATAATTAAATAGTTATGATTAATCAATCATGTGCATAAAGATATATTGACAATCGTCTGTGTGATACTAGTAACTAAAGGGGCCGTACTATCATAAATAGTTACGAGCTCGTAACAGAGCCATCCATCGTTGGCGGTTCTCAAAAACCCATGGATCGCTGAAGAGAAATCGACCGCTACGTGTATTTAGGCTGCAACGTGTTCTTAAGCAAGTTGTGATAGAACGGCCCTCTGTTGGTAACATTACCGTCTGTAGCCAAACGGTTAAGCGAGTTAGTATCAAACAAATGGACTTGTACAACACATTTTACGTGCATTGAACCTGCAGCAATGTTACTGCCAACCCACTGCGTCAGAAATTCAAACACTTATAAAGTCAACCTCTTGATGCTAGTATATGAAATTATAATGACATTGATAATAATTCTATCTGAATACGTAGTAATATGGAATTAAATCGTGATTAATTGGAGAAGCAGTCAACCTGTTTATCTTCAATTATTCATATGAGTAACGAAGACAATTGTTATTGCTATGTTAGTATGTTTACAAAATTATATTTCCATTGCTTACTCCAATGTAATCTTTTATTATGAAGAAAATTTTCAAATCTACTTTTTCAAATTTCGTATGTTGATTGTTTCGATGAGAGTGCATTTACCATTTACTCTGTTTTCTGACTGCAGCCGTATCTCTTCTCCTGACTATGATGCCTGATAGTTAATAACTTAGCTCGTAGTTCAGCCGAGGCCAAGGTTTAATTGAAGATTGTTATCTGCTGTTATCTGTAGATTTATTTACGACTGAGGTCACGGCTCATGCTGAGCTACTGACACTCTAAGATTGCAGCAATTTACGGCTGAGGTCACGGCTCATGCTGAGCTACTGACACTCTAAGATTGCAGCAATTTACGGCTGAGGTCACGGCTCATGCTGAGCTACTGACACTCTAAGTTCAGGTTTGTGTTGCAGACTACTCAGCAAGACAGGCTTACGGGGACCTCGCAGCCGATCAACTGATTCCCTGTCCAGCCACACCGCCCCCTCCTCCACAGCGTAAACTACCTCACTCTAGGTAGGTACAATCATACATACTACCTCACTCTAGGCAGGTACAATCATACATACTACCTCACTCTAGGTAGGTACAATCATACGTACTACCTCACTCTAGGTACGTACAATCTTACATACTACCTCACTCTAGGTAGGTACAATTATACGTACTACCTCACTCTAGGTAGGTATAATCATACACGCTACCTCACTCTAGGTAGGTACAATCATACATACTACCTCACTCTAGGTAGGTACAATCATGCATACTACCTCACTCTAGGTAGGTACAATCATACATACTACCTCACTCTAGGCAGGTACAATCATACATAATATCTCACTCTAGGTAGGTACAATCTCACGAGATTGTTGTCAGTATGGTCACATTTTTTTATTTTGCGTGTTCGTCCCTTAACAACTGAAATTATCTGGATGATGCTCACAACTTTATTCTCTGGTAGAGGAATTAATCGACCATAATTCTTCCTAGATTCAATATTTATTTTCAAACTATATATGTTTCATTTTTCTATATTATTGGTGTCATATCGGATCTTGCCTATGGGATGCTACCTCAATTATAATTTCACTTAAGCCACCTCTTCACTATTTATCAAAAATGATGGTAAATATGCATCATTCTGTTGTCTTCAGGGAAGGTCCAACCTCTTCTACTTCATCTCTAATGTCGCTGGAAGGCAGCAGCTGCAACGATGTTTTTGAGAAGTCATCGCGTGGCGACGGCCCTGAAGCTGCGCGAGTCGAGAAAGTCTGGCAACGCAGACGTCGAGGGTCGGAAGGTTCCGGAGGACCTACGAAATTGGTGGCCGCAACCATACTTAGTAAAATATGTCGGCAGCACAGCGAAGGAAGCTCCGGTGTGCGACAGGCTCATCGTTCTTTATCTGACGAGAGAAAGTCTAGTCAGTCCAGTAAGCGAGACTTAGCTGATCACTTGTTGGCGAGAGCTGTGGCTTCCTTTGACGCCTCAGCTCTGCCTGAGCGCCCAAAATCTGCTTGCGAGAACTCCAATGTAACGACCAGGGAAGATTATCCTGCCGACGCCCGCAGCCGTGCCCGGGAGCGCGGGAAAGACAACGGGTTTCAAGAAGGCGAAGAAGGAACTCGGCGTCCGCACACGCGGCCCAACTCCGGCGATAGGGAACCTGTTAATAAAGTAAATACTTTGCCTGTGATTAAAGCTAGTCAACCGCTCAGGCTAAAACAGAATAATCAAAAGTACCGCGTGTTGAACGATAATGTTTATGCGATAGCAACTGTTGCTCGACGACCTCCTGTTAAGCGTGAAAATATTTACGAAAATGTGATCTGCTTTAAGCCCAAAAATGTCGGCTGGACGATGCCAACAAGAAGCGGATTCCGGAAGCAGAACTCCATGAGCGTTCTTCCTTTAATGCTTGCCGAGGAGCACAAGAACTTCGGCAACGATTCCATGAACGAACGACGCGAAACTGTACGCAAAGCCGACAGTTTCGAGGGCCATGAGGAAGCTGTGCGTACGTTGGTGGCACAAGTGCACAAAAATAGGACGAGCCGACTCAAAGACGTCAAGTATTAAACGATCACATGGAAACTACTGCTTAAACTTAATTCTCAAACAGGGATAGCATTTGTGTTGTAGTAAATAGTTGTGAATATAATGAAAACGTTGCGTTATTTAGTAGTCTAGGTTTACAAAGGCGTGACGTAATTCTTCAACCAGGATAACGTATGGCAAGCGAATAGAGTTTTTGAAATTTTTCATGGTTTTGTGCAACGAACTTGGCTTGAAGTTCAAGGAAGTAGCAAGATTGTGGCGTTTCTGTTGCTATATGGTGAAATTTTACTCGATTAAATGATCTTGTCCTTGAATAGCATTGGCGGCGGTTAATATAATGTAGACAACAGAATAAATTAACGGCTTCTCCTAGATTATTGAGAGTCTGATGTGCAATTCTACCTTAAATTCTAGATGCGGATTGACTGTCTAGAGGACACTACAAGCATGGCCTTCATCACTGTTACACGTTTTGTTTACACACTTCTTGAGTGCATCACGAATATCATCAAATGATGTCATAGTTTTCTCGTAGTAATGTCATTATTATCAATCGAGTTTCCGTACCTGAAATCCTTTGCGTGTAAAGGTCTTCATCTTTCTTTGACTACAATGTGAATCCTCAGCGCCTTCGCCGCGAACGCTTTGTTCTGCACGAGGCCTGTGGATGTCATTATAAATTATTTTACATTCATTTCATGTGCTCAGTTCATTTTTCGGTGCCGCTGGTGGGTGGCGCTTGGTAGGCGTCAAAGGTGGGGCTTGCAGCATGGCCTTGGGTTAGTGTGCCTAAATCAAGTCCCTTTACTTTTTACCTGGGATCTTAAGATCGCAATCAACATAAATTATTGTAGAGAAAATTTACGGGTACGCGTATATTCGCCGACTGAACTTAACAATCCAAAGATTCTCAATTAAAATTAAGTTAAACTTATTCTGCGTTATAACAAACTCATGGCTTTAATTTATTTGTTATTGATATCTGCGTCTGCCGTCCTCTTCCATGGCTCATGCAAGACCTACGAGCGGGCGACTTATTTATTCATATTATTTAAATATTATCTTTAAATATTGATATTTATCCTTATATTAAATCTTTATAGGTTTACCATTATCATATTATTTATACAATATTAAAAAGATGTTTGATTACCTCATGTTCTATTGTTTTAGGAGGGAATTTTGCCTAACGTACCAAGAAGCTGAGTCGCATGCAAAAAAAAACTTTTGTTATGTAGTTGACTGATTTTACATTTAATCTGTTCAAACTTTCCTTTCTATTATACATAAAATATTACCGTCAAGAGAAGATATGGCCGAACGTGTTCGCATTAAAAGCTCTTTACGTCACTCTGCATGTGAATGCATGGGTATATTCTAATGCTCGTTTACTTCTGAATTTCATCCACATGCTCATTGAAGCCACGCGCATTATATATGGTTTTATTTAAGATGAAACATGATTCTAAAAAATGTCAAATGAGAACCCCATGAGTAATTCGTAGATGAGAAATGCAGAGCAAATGTCAAAACGTAATCTCGCAAGACTTCCTTATGATGCTTTCTACACATGGAACCCGACAGTCAATACCATAGCTTGTTTAATTTGTTATTGTTATGTAGGTATAGCATTGTAAACAGTCCACAACATCGGTAGCAAAAAAGCATGACTGTGGTAAAGCAGAATTATTTATTACCAAAGTAATTATTGCTTATCACTGTTATATAGAAGAAGTTTTGTTTGATGTTGAAATACAGTAACCCATAAAATATTACAGATGCCAATTATTCTAACTTTATTTTGAAAATGATGAGCTTTACTGACGTCTCGGACGCTCTACTGTGTAACTTAAACAATTTAAAATGCTCGCTTAAACGACTTCGTTGTTTTTTTGTCATAGGTGCGTACAGTCAATATATTTTTTTGTAGGCTAGGCATGCTTTTGTTTAAGATTACTGAGTGCATAATGCTGTTTTAATTAATTTATTTAGTGAACTAATTATATAATAACTAAACAAATTCTCAAGTAACTAATAAGTCAATGGCATAATCTAAACTCTTGTAGCTTGTAGAGGATCGAGGATGTCTGCTCAATACCTCATTGTTATTGCTCTGTTAAGCAATAAACAATAAACACATTGGTTTTAATTTCTCCCCAATATTACGATTTACTGCTGTTAATTTTTTGCCGGCCTGAGAATCTTAAATATCGTTTTTTCATCGTAAATGAACGTGCAATTTTCTCAACGGTTGAAATTTCAAGGGTAAAATAGGTTGGTTATAAGTTATATATGAGCATCTATTTCTTTACAATTTTATTTCTGTATGAAAATTAATACATGATGTCGACCTATAATTTCAAAATTGTTGCTAACCATGATTGTTGAAGCAATAATTTGGAATGTTTTATTAATAATAATATTAATAATAATAATCTACTAGTTCAACCATGTTTCAAGCCTACCTAGTCTTCCGATATTTATTCCGGACCGACTGAAAGATCTTACCTCATAAATGTGTTCCGAGTTCATTGTTTCCGTAGCATTTGGTCACCATAATAAAGTCTGTCACGACTTTTTTCGAGCGACGGTTGGGTAAGGACGTGTCCTAAGCTGATCTACCGTGAGTAAAAACTGAAATAAAATTTTCGCTTCTGTAGTTAAATAATCGATTAGAAATTTGAACTTTCCCCATTATTTGGTAGGTAAAAGATCTAAATAGAGAATGGATCCTAATTCTCCAGGTTTAAGTGGATCGCCTGCGCTATTGTTACTTTGTGGCGAGATGTTCATCGAAGGATAGTTTTACAACATGTGGCGAGATGTTCATCGAAGGATAGTGTTAGCATCGTATGATGAAGTCATTTCAGTTTCAGGGATGGAAGTGGGAGAGGACAGAGATAGACTCTCCCTACTAAATTCATCAATGGTGTCAGAGACACAACAGGCAACAGTAGGTGGGAGTACCTTAAAGCAGACCCATAGCCATAGTGTGGCAAGAATTGTGTCAAGTAACAGGAAAGTGATTGAGGAGTCTGAGTCTAGTGGTGAGAACTCTTTGGGATCCCTAGCTGGGGTGGATGAATATGTCTCCCCAAATAGAGATTCAGATTATGCAGAATGGCCATTACTAAGCCTACCCGGGTCTAGCTGTCTTTCCAAGGAGCCACTATGCAGAAGGTGGATGCAGCGTCGCCAATATATGGATTTTTAAGCCCAACGCGTCGCCGGCCATTTTAAAGATGCGTCGCC